TAGAATCCCAGCTAGAAATTCAGAAGATATTTTCCTTAAATCATCTCTATTATTTTCCTGCAAACCTCTTAATCTTATCGCATATTCTGTGAAATTATATTGTACCATTAAAATCTCTTTTTCAATCTTCTGTTGCAGATTTTCTGCATTACCATACTTTTGATCAGCATCCATTTTAGGTTTTTCTTCTAAGCTATTATCCTGAGTGTTTGTCAAATCATTTTCAATTTTTTGAATTCTATTGTCCAATTTATCTTGAATTTCTTCCATTTTAGACTCTAGTACATTAGTATTTGTGTCCAACTGTATCATAAATCCTGTAAAACCATTAACCACTTTTGAGAATTTTTTCTCCAAAAAATCAAACTTAGATTTCACCAATTCTTTAATTTCCTGCTTAAATTTTTCAAATTGCTGATTCACAATCTCCTCCCTTCTTTCAATCTCCTCTATAAAAAATTCTATTATATTAAAATCAGGTTTCTGAGACTGAAGAATTAAGACTTGTTCCTTTAAGTTGTTGGTGGGGGGATCCCCCCCCTTCTTGTTTATCTGACTTTATGAGTCTCAGTGCCATGATTCCGCCCAGGCAGGCTTTGTTAAAAAAAAAGCAAGAAAGAAAAAAAAAGGACTTCTTTCCAATCAACAACAATATCAGGTCTCCAAGGGAAAAAAAAGAGAAAAAGACACAGGAGCGAAGTTTTGTCTACAAATGTAGCCAGTGGTATTTATTCCGCTACATTGTAGTAATAGAAAACGGAAGGACTTTCCCTTTCAGCCTCTCCTCCAGCCGACGCCATTTTAAAAGGCTTTTTTTTTTCCTCTTTCTTTTCCTCCTCTCTCTTAAGTAATTTTTTTAAAAAAATCAGTAAAATACTTGCGGTTCAGTATTACAGGTCCAGCTCACATTTTCTTTGAGTAGTCTGTTAAATTTGCAGGCTTGCTTTTGACGCCTGGCTCTGCATCAGCAGAGGTCTCCCAAAGCCCAGAGCGGCGGCTGGGGATACGGGGCATCTCATCCGCTCCGTCCCAAAAGTAAAGGAAAAACTTTTGGGACTCCGCAGAGAGTTCTACCCACCCCTGCCGGCTCTATCTCCGTTTCCTCATGGAAACGGAGTTTTTTCGAGCCGCCATTCCGTTGTGAAGGCGGCTCTAACAGGCGATGGAAGCTGACGATCCCAAAGGAACGTCTGGCAGTGACAAACAGCAACCCGGAAGTCCCCTCCTGGAGAGTGTTCTTGATCTGGCCAACTGTTGTGAAGGGTGTTTTCTTCACCAGGGAAAGAATTCTTCGGTCATCCACCACAGTTGTTTTCTGTGGTCTCCCGGGTCTTTTGGTGTTGCTGAGCTCACCGGGGCGTTCCTTCTTTTTGAGAATGTTCAAAACAGTTGTTTTGGCCATGCCTAATGTTCTTGCTATCTTTCTGATGGGTTTGTTTTGTTTCTTCAGCCTAATGATGGCTTGCTTCACTGATAGTGACAGCTCTTTGGATCTCATCTTGAGAGTTGACAGCAACAGATTCCAAATGCAAATAGCACACTTGAAATGAACTCTGGGCCTTTTATCTGCACATTGTAATTGGGGTAATGAGGGAATATCACACACCTGGCCATGGAACAGCTAAGAAGCCAATTGTCCCATTACCTTTGGTCCCTTAACAAGTGGGAGGCACATATGCAAACTGCTGTAAGTCCTACACCGTTCACTTGAGTTGGATGTACATACCCTCAAATTAAAGCTGACAGTCTGCAGTTAAAGCACATTGTGTTTGTTTCATTCTAACTCCATTGTGGTGGTGTATAGAGCCAAAGATGTTAGAATTGTGTCGATGTCCCAATATTTCTGGACCTGACTGTAGGTTATCTAGTACAACCCCCCATCCGTTCAAGCAGAGGACCCTACACCATTTTTGACAAATGGCAGTCCAATCTTTTCTTGAAAGTCTCAAGTGATGAAGCTCCCACAACTTCCGAAGGCAACTTCTGTTCCATTGATTGATTGTTCTCACTGTCAGAAAGTTCCTCCTCATTTCTAGGTTGAATCTCTCCTTGGTCAGTTTCCATCCATTATTCCTTATCTGGCCTTCAGGTGCTTTGGAAAATAGCTTGACCCCCTCCTCTCTGTGACAGCCCCTCAAATATTGGAATACTGCTATCATGTCTCCCCTGGTCCTTCCCTTCACTAGACTAGCCATGCCCAGTTTCTGCAACCATTCTTCATGTTTTAGTCTCTAGTCCCCTAATCATCCTGGTTGCTCTCCTCTGCACTTTTTCTAGAGTCTCAACATCTTTTTTTATAGTGTGATGACCAAAACCGGATGCAGTACTCTTGGTGTGGTCTTACTAGGGCTTTATAGAGTGGTATTAGTACTTCACTTGATCTTGATTGTATCCCTGTTAATGCAATTTAGGATTGCATTGGCTTTTTTGGCTGCCGCTGCACACTGCTGGCTCATATTTAGCTGATTGTCCACTAAGACTCCACCGAGATCCCTCTCATTGTCACTGCTATTAAGCCTGGTTTCCCCCAGTTTATATGTGTGCTTTTGATTTTTCTTACCTAAGTGTAGGACTTTACTTTTTTCTACATTAAATTTCATTTTGTTAGACAGGGCCCAGTGTTAACGTCTGTCAAGTTCCATCTGGATCTTGAGCCTATCTTCTAGGGTTAAGTTATAAGTTATTCCTGCCAGTTTAGTATCATCTGCAAATTTGGTGAGTTCTCCTTTTATTCCCTCAGCTTTGTCCATGTCTGCTTGGATGGAGAAGGATCAAGGAGATTGGGGAGGCAACTGCTGAAGGAAAAACAACTCTGCTGGTGCCAAAGAACACACTGCTACTTGTGGGCAGAATATGCCAATTTAAGATTTACAGGGTAACGTGAAGAAGTAGACTTGGAGGAGAATGAGCAAAAATCGTATGCCTGCAGTTCTTCAGTTTTAAGGGTGGGAAACTGTTTAAATAAGCTTTGAAATCTCTTTCAGCAAAAAAAAAAAAAAAAAAAACCCACAGGATGTCACAATTTATATTTTGCAGTGAAATGATAAATCCGGTCAGAAATTGGAAGAGTGGGAGTGGAGGTAAGTCCTGGAATGTAAAAAATAATTCTAGAGATAATGCATGTATTATAAGACATAATTTTCCTATTTAGGGGTAATAGAAGTGTCTGTGTCCCAAATAATTTGGAGAAGAAGAAAAAAACTCCCGCAGAGCCTAAATTGGAGTATTCTACTGCAGTGAAAGAAAGGTTATTGGTCCTTAAGGGGGGGAAAGGCTAGGATTTGTTTCAGTCTCTATAGTGTTAAAGTTATTGGTTATGGTGAGAACTGCAGCTTGCCAACTCCAGCTGTTTCCTGGAAGGTATTAAAGCTTCCTGTTGCTAATAATTGACAAGCAGAGATTTGCAGGGCTTTGAATCTGAATCTGAGAAGTGGGGTGTCATAGCTGTGAGCATCTCCCTATAGAAGCCATGTAGAAGCTCTCAGAAAGAAGAAGTGTTTGAATTAAATTTCACAAGAAGAGTCCTCCTGTCCTCTGCTCGCAACAAAATACTTTATGCCACCAGACTTGAAATTCTGGGCTTAGAAAATTTAGAACTACGCCGCCTTTGGTATGACCTAAGCATAGCTCATAAAATTATCTGCTACAATGTCCTACTTCAGCTTCAACCACAATAATACACTAGCACACAGTAGATACAAACTTAAAGTGAACCGCTCCAAACTCAATTGCAGAAAATATGACTTCAGCAACAGAGTGGTCAATGCCTGGAATGCACTACCTGACTCTGTGGTTTCATCCCAAAAACCCCCAAATTTCAACCTGAGACTGTCTACTGTTGATCTCACCCCATTCCTAAGAGGTCTGTAAGGGGTGTGCAGAAGAGCACCAGTATGCCTACTGTCCCTGTCCTAATATTCCCTTTATTTCTATTAATTTTATGTATTCAATTCATGCTTATACTTATATATATATTATCTAATACATACTTGACAAATAAATAAAATAAAATAAAGACAGTTAAAGATACATGTTTGCCTGAGGATTGTGCAGCTACCACCCAAGGCTAGGAAAAGATCCAGCTTCTTTAAGTTGTTGACCAGTTCAGCATATCCTGAAGTTGCTTTTTGGCTTCAGATCCAAAGTGCTCCTAGCACATTTCTAGAAGTGAGGCAGGGGCAGTTAGCTCAGCCAATCTGATCTGGAGTTCTCGTGGGCTCTGGATAGCATACAGGAAATCCCGCCAAACACACTGGGGTTGTATGTTAAAGGAGTAAGTTTCAGAAGATCAACTGATGCAGCCGCAATCATTTTTTATCTGATTGCACTCAACCTACAGTAGTGGCCAAAATTGTGGAAACCTTTTGGGAAAAGTGTATTTTCTAAAACTAGCTAATAACATCATTATTTTTTTTTGGAGTAGTACCATAAAATTATATATCAATGGAAAGATAATTTAATAAAGAATGTAATGCAATAACTTGCTATTAGAACAGCAGTTACAGTATAAAGAAGAAAAGTGAAACACGTAGAAAAAATGAGATGTACAAAAATTATCATCTCAGTTAATACTTAGCTGGGTAACCTTTAGCATGAATTACGGCCTTACAACGTCTTCCCATGGAGTGGGACCAAGTCTTTTAGTTCTGTAGCTGTTATAATGTGAAACCAAGATTGAATGGTTGCTTCTATTAACTGGGTTTTATTGCTGACTAACAAGTTTCTTTAGTCGGTTCCCTAAATTTTCAATTGGGTTACGGTCTATGCTATTCCCAGGCCATTCCAGCAGTGGAATATGATTATCTTGAAACTCCAAAAAAAGAGTGGTGTTATTAGCCATCAAACCTCAAAAATACACTTTTCCCAAAAGGTTTCCACAATTTTGGCCACTACTGTATCTTAAGCAGGGTTTATGACAATAACATCTACATTTATTATGTTGCAGGGTTCACTTGCAATCTTTAGAATACTTGCTGTTAGTGATGGCTTAATTCTCATACCAAAAGTCTCCGGAGCAGGCATCTGATCAATAGTTCCATAATATTTATGATTTGATGCGTTGCTATGGGGAGAAAAACAGAAGATGATGTAAAATAGCACACAGCTTTAGTTGATTATTCCCCCTTTTTTTCCCCTCTTGAAAATTCCTTTCACTTGAACCTCACAACAATCTTATCAGGAGGCCGGACTGAAAAAAAACAACTTGTCCAAAACCTCTCAGCCAACTCCAGGTTCAAGTGGGGACATCAAGCCAGGTTTCCGTGATCCAAATCTAATTTCTTTACCATTGTAGTTACTACAAAGATGAACTTTCATAGATAAAAACCGAGGATAAGCTTCTGCCCTTTTCCAATGTCTCAATAAGTTTTCATGTATCCAATATTTAACACTGAGGAAAACATGGCCCATTAATAATTCAAATATAACCAGGCTAGGCCTAATAAATCAGGAACCATATGACAGAAGAGAGATTCTGAAAACTCTTTGTGGTTATCTAATACTTGTCTGTATTTTTGTTGTCCAGATATGATTTGCACTAAATAAGGTTAAATTCCTGTGACCATTTGTTTTTCTTGTCCCAAGGCAATGAGCAATCTTCTAATTTTTCCAAAACGTGTGGTTAATTTGAAATGAAGGGGGACACAGACAAAAAGTAAATAAATTGTGCTAATAGGAAAGCCAACTTCACTCAGGAGTTATAACTGTATGCACACACAATCCTAAATCAACATGGCCTAACTATAGTTTTTGCAGGGGTGGACAATCTTTTGATGGCCACAGAGCACACTGACGCTTTTCGAAGGCTGAGGGCCCACAAACTGGTTTGGTCTAGATTAGAACTTGGTTTCGATAAATTACAGATTTTATGCCTACCCCAACTCAAATCTGTAAAAGAATATGCTATGATTTTCAGCATTCATGGTCAGACAAATCTCCAAGAGTCACAAAAAGGGATCCAAGACCTCTTGCAACCCTGAAGCCACAAGCTGACCATCACAACTCCATAAAGATTGCTTATAAATCACAATGAGTAGACAACATCTTATACAATAATTTATATAACTAGTGGATTGTAAGAATGCAGTCATAATGTGGCTTGTTACTGCATACTGATGCAGTCTGTAAACCAGAGGTTACTAGCATGTTGTGTGAACTCAGATAATGGTAGTTTATTCAGTGATCCATGATTAAGCCAACTGTGAGCAAAGCCTGAGGCCACTATGCGTGGGAGGTTAAATGAGCAGCCTCGTGATTCAGTGTGAATCAAGCCCTATGTTTTTAATTAAGAATCCGGAGCGCCTTCAACAGGTTTTGTTCTATGTTCTCCAGAGCTGCTGCAAATAGGCGTTTACTAGTTCAACTACTTTTCTTCTTTTCGGAAGAAAATGGCAGTTCAGTTTTGAACCAACCCATAAAACAAGCGACCCGATTGGGCGAACCGGGGTCTCTTGTGATCTTCACGTGCCGTGAGAACCTAGACAATCAGATTCGATCCGTAAACCGTGGTTTTTGAGAGCAAAGCCCCGATCTTTAAACCTTCGTTAGATCGCTCTCTCGGTCTCCAGAAAGAGACAAGCGACGGCGCGTGGTTGACATTCTGCAGTCAGCTGAGCTCCGCTCGACTTCCCCTTTTTCCCCTAGTTGCAGAGAGTTATTGAAATAATTTAAGGGGGTCCTGCCGGGGAAGCGGGAGGGTAAAAAGGCTCTCACCGGATCGCTCGGCTTCCTTGGGCCATGGCTGCGAAGAACTGCTCTGGAAGCTAGAAGCACAAGCTCCTGACTTTCCCCTTACTTTCTCTTTCATTTCTCTTTAAACCAATAACTCGGGCCCAGCCTTTCCGCCCGAGGGACGAACTTTCCGGTTTGTGAAAAAAAAACAAAAACCTCCGGATTGGATTGTGGAAGGAAAACGCGGAAGAGGGAAGGTTTTGGGGTGCTTTTTTTCGGGCTTGCGCCCTTCAAGACGAGCGGCCAAAATAGGGGGAGGGGGAGAGAGGGCGGGGTTGTCGCTCATGAATGTTTTGGGATCGAGGCTGGAGGTGCTTTTGTGTCTCTTGGGAGTTCGCCAAGGTATGTCGCGCCCGCTCGGGTGAGTGGATCTGTTACACAACACCTTGGCAAACTCCAGGAGGCACAAAAGCGCCTCCAGCCTAGATCCCAAATCATTCACGCGCGAGAACCTCGCCCTCTCCACCCCCATTTTGACCGCTCATCCTGTAGAGCGCGAGCCCAGATAGACAGACAGACAGACAGACAGACAGATAGATAGATAGACAGACAGACAGACAGACAGACACTGCTCAAAAAACTAAAGGGAACACAAACAGAAGAGACCCGAGATCTGAATGAATGAAATAGCCTTATTAAATACTTTGTTCGTTACATACAGTAGTTTTGTGTTCCCTTTAGTTGTTTGAGCAGTGTATAAACTACTGTATGTAAAGAACAAAGTATTTAATAAGGCTATTTCATTCATTCAGATCTCGGATGTCTTCTGCTTGTGTTCCCTTTATTTTTTTGAGCAGTGTATATATATACATATATATATACCAGAGGTGGGTTTCAGCAGGTTCTGACCAGTTCTGGAGAACTGATAGTGGAAATTTTGAGTAGTTCAGAGAACTGGTAGTAAAAATTCTGACTGGCCCCCCAAGGGCCAGCTGATCAGGAGGAAATGGGGATTTTGCAGTAAACAGGATGGAGATTTTACAGTATCCTTCCCCTGCCATGCCCACCAAGCCACACCCACAGAATCGGTAGTAAAAATTTTTGAAACCTACCACTGATATATACACACACACGTACATACATTTGGGGGGTGCTGTAATGGATTTGGGGGGGAACCCTCAAAGATTCTGGAGCAAATCAGCCCACGCACATTTGCCAAGTGGAGTTCTTTTTCTAACTCTGGGATTTTTTGATGGGCTCCAGTCCAAGTATTAACAACATCTTTCCCTGCCTAACTGGCTTTGGGATCCCTTAAGTTAATCAATGCTATAGATCTGTTTACTAAGAATTGAATTCAAATTCTTAGATATTTGCCCAGGTAAAGTTCAAACATGGCAACTCCTGTCTGCAATGATGGCAGTGATAAATGGATTTATTTTATATTACCATACAGCAGAGTGTTTTCCAGATTTCCAAAACATCTGTATTATAAAAATGGCTACTATGGTGATGACCCAGGTTCAAAAACCTCAGTCCCTGAAAGTCTATGGAGATTCTCAGTCATCCAGGTCATAGTTGTCTCAAAGATGCTTTTTTTCAAGAGGCAACTGGACTCCCTTTGTTTTTCCTTTGAAGACGTTTCGTTTCTCATCCAAGAAGCTTCTTCAGCTCTGACTGGATGGTGGGGGAATGGAAGGATTTATACTCCTTGCAGACAGCTGGCCATTTGCATTCTTCTAGCAGGTCATTAAGATCACCTGGAGGTTTATCTGTATCATCAGAGTCATCTGGTGCAAATGGGTGTGGAGCCTTCTTGGAATTATTGAAAGGACTGTGTTGTAGATTGGAGATATATGATAGTGGTATATGCAGTACAGTGCAGTGAGTCATGTGCATATCTGTACATTGGGGAAACAAAACAACCACTTCATAAATGAATGGCACAACATAGAACAAACACATCACAGGGGTGAAATCCAGCAGGTTCTGACAGGTTCTGGAGAACCGGTAGCGGAAATTTTGAGTAGTTCAGAGAGCCGGCAAATAACACCTCTGGCTGGCCCTAGGAGTGGGGAGGGAATGGGGATTTTGCAGTATCCTTCCCCTGCCATGCCCACCAAGCCATACCCCACAGAACCTGTAGTAAAAAAATTTGGATCTCACCACTGACACATCAGGATTAGATTCAGCAGTCCAGCTGCATTTAAAAGACACAGGCCATTCCTTTGAAGACAACAGAGCCCATATTTTGGACAGAGAGGATTGCTGGTTTGAAAGAGGGGTTAAAGAGGCCATTTATGTCAAAATCGAACAGAGGGGGAGGCATACGACATCATCTATCTACAACACAGTCCTTTCAACAGTTCCAAGAAGGCTCCACACCAATTTGCACCACTAAGATGACCCTGATGACACAAATAAACCTCCAGGTGACTTTAACAACCCGCTAAAAGAATACAAGTGACCATCTGTCTGCAAGGAGTATAAATTCTTTCATTCCCCCATCATCCAGTCAGAGCTGAAGCAGCTTCTTGGATGAGAAGCAAAATGTCTTCAAAGAAAAACCAGAAAGTTCAGAAAAACCTCTTGAAAAAAACATCTTTGGGTCAGTCCCTGAAACTAGTCAGTCAACTCTGGACAAATTACTACCTCTCTGCCTAAACTATCTCACTGTTTTGTGGTAAGAATCAGTAGTGAAAGAGGAAGCCATAGACATTATACCAGACTCCTGAAGATTTGTTCAATAAATGTGGAGGAAGGTAAATTGAAGCATGTAATTTTCCATGAACTGGTGAACAGCACACAGGCATGCTAAATTTATGGGACCTTTCCGCTTAAGGAGAAAGAGAATGAGTATGTGAGAAAGCAAGCGAGTATGTGAGTCATTCCCAAAGTGGCTGCAGTGAGAGGATGGATAGTGTTCATTGTTGACCTTATGCCCTACTTGTGATCTTCTCAAAGTTTATACTTTGCTGTATGGCTAGACCTTTGACTTCATTTAGCAGAATTCCCGTTAGTCATTTGAACAAATAAACTCTTCTACCAAGCAAAGTCGATAGTCTGAGTACAAATTACTCCAGAAAAATACCCAAGCTTAAAAAGAATTATCATATGTGCCTGACCACTCAACCCTCTACAGAATAACCGACCTATTTATTTTATGTATTAATTAAACTTATATAACTTCCCACCTCACAAGAAGATTAAAAAGATAGCATTGCCATACATTAAAAACATCTCAGAAACAACCATCAAACTCTTACAGCCACGCAGCACACAAACCAACTAAAGCCTTCTGAAACATTTTAAGTAAACCAAAAGATTCAGAATTCCAAGAAAAAAAATAGGACTCATCTGCAACAATACAGCATAAAGACTGACAACCACTACCTAGGACAGACAAATTGAAGACTTGCAGAGTATATCCATAAACACTAACTAGCAGTTAGAAGACAATGAAAACCATTAAATTGTACAACACATGGACAGACTCAAATATAGTTTCAGTTGGGAACTCTGAATATCCTAGACCAGGGGTGTCAAACGCATCATCATGGCATCATGTGACATATTGTGACTCCCCCCCACTTTGCTAAACCAGGTATGGGCGTGGCCAGCGCAGGACACATCCAGCCTGCGGGCCACGAGTTTGACACCCCTTTCCTAGACTAAGCTAATTCCAGAAATGCTAAAGAATTACTGTAAGTTTGAAGTCAGATGAATCAGCCATACAAAAGAAACAATAAAAAGCTACAAAAAAACCCCCAAAAGATCAGAACACATCCTTTCCAACAGCCAGATAAGCAGGGATTAACACCAAACAAACTATCAAACAGAAACAATACCCTAATCAAGGAATTATCAATGAGAAAAACATCTCCACCAGCACTCACAGGGCAAGCTACTGTATATAAATAGGGAGCAAACCTCACTCTCAGTAGCACTGATATTGTTGCCTAGGTGGGTAATAAAATGTAGGCAAACAACCAAGCTCAGAGAACATCAAAGCATTCAACAATTTGATTGCATACACAAAGGATTCTTTTTTCTTTTCCTCTTTTCCTAAAACACTTTCTTATGTTAAACTGATAGGCAAACATCTCATATTCCGCAGACCAATGTTCCCCAACCTGATATTTTCCAGATAGAAATTCCCAAGATCCCAATGGATATGGAAATCCTGGACATGGATGGAGCCAGATTGATAAGCAATGGCTAAACCAGGGTTAGGGTTCTATTACTTCCTATTTTGATAACTGTATTTGAGGCTCTGTATTCCTTTGCAATACAGTTCTAGCTCTGTATTTTATACACATGAATACATTAACTGAGAAGTGGGTCTGAGGGTTTCACCAGATTCTCAAAGCAGTGAGTGGCCCAAAAGATAAAGAATACTTGATCTAAACCATTAATCTTAGCTGGTGAACCAATCTCCATTATGGATCACAATCTAAACCAATATGGCAGCAACATCCAGTAGCACTGCTAGAATCCTAATAAACAAAAGATATATTTGGGCTAAATATGGATACCAGGTCTGAAAAAGTAACTTGTATAAGATGTTTCAGGGAGGGGAAATGAATAAACCTATAAGGAAAAAAGCAAAAAACAAAGCAACCTTCTGTTTGTTTGATTGACTAGACCATATATAAAACATGCTTAAATGTCTGCTGAGCTAAATAAAAGAAAGTGAAAGAAGGGTGAGATAATTAAAAATTAAAAATCTGATTCAGATACAAAATAAAACGAAAAGCTGCCATGAATAAAGTCCTTTTTCTGCATGGCAAGCGAAATAAGGCCAGTGAAGAACTAAAGTTTTCCCATGGATTAACAGGTATTAAGTTTGTATTTTTGCTTTCAAGGGCACTTATGAAAACTGTCATATTACAGCAAAATTAAAAAGTGATAAACTATCACTGGAGCTTCAGCTGTTTGCCTTTTTATCAGATGACCAAAAGTTACCAGAAAACTGTTGAACTGACTGGCACCTTTTAGCAACCTCTGCTGATGTTCTGCTTTCTCTACCATAACGTTTCTTCAACAAGTCCAACTCTTGATGGCTTCATGGACATGTCCAAGGAGTCTTCTTGGCAATATCATGGAAATGGTTTGCCACTACTTTCCTCTGGTATACTTC